GCCCCAGGAGTCCGGTCTGGGGGGGCAGAGGGCCCAGGAGTCCGGTCTGGGGGCGGTGGGGGCAGAGGCGCCCCAGGAGTCCGGTCCGGGCCCCGCGGCTCACATGGGCAGCAGGTGGTCGTCCCGCTCCTCCGACTCCTCCCCGAGCTGGTCGTCGCCCACGCCGCGGTAGGCGGCGGGCACCGTGCGGGGTTTGGAGCGGCACACGAAGTCGCAGCCGTCCTGGGGCGGGGGAGAAGCGAAGGGGGCGGTGGGGCGCCGGCTGGCGGGGCGCGGCTCCCCGCGGGGCGCGGCCGGCTCCCAGGCGAGGCCCAGACCCGAGGATGGCAGTTGGAGGCCAGCCCAGGCAGGGAAGCCCTTGAGGCTCGACCCAGCCCGCGCCCTCCGCCCTCCCTGAGCTCCCGCCCCGGCTGCTCCGAGCTCTACCGCCGGCAGCCAAGCGGCTCAGACCTTCCTGCCCGGGCTGGCCTCAAACCGCCATCCTCCGCTCTCAGCCTCCCGGGGATCTGACAGGCGGTTTCTGTCTGGTTGCTGCGTGAGCGTCCTAGGCTTCAGCTACCCCCCCGAGCGCAGGCCAGCTCCCCGCACCCCATGGACCCCGCCCGCTACTTACTGCCACCAGGTTGCCCAGGTCCTGCCAGAAGGCCAGGTGCGGGAGCTGCTCCATGCCCTTGGCGCCCACCACCAGGCGGCGGTACAGGAACCCCCCGGTGACGTAGACGGCCGCCAGGGACGCGAACCTGCGGCCAGGGGACACCCACTCTGAACAGGGAAGCCTGGGGCCAGGGCAGCAGCGCCCGCCTGCCATCCCAGCCACTCAGGAGGCTGAGAGCGGAGGATGGAGACGAGGAGTCCCCGTGACACGCTGACCCCCAAATGGACCACTCGAAAACCAGAAGTGGCACTGTGGCTCAAGTGGCAGAGCGCCAGCCTTGAGCACAGTGAGGCTCAGGGACAGCGCCCAGGCCACGAGTTCAAGCCCCAGGAAACCCCAGGAAAAATAAACACCAAACAAATAACCTAATAATGTACCGCCCTGAACATTGCCTTCCTTCCTTCCTTCCTTCCCTGGCCTTGTCTGTCTGTCCTGGGGCTTGAACGCAGGGCCTTCTGTTCTTGCTTAAGCCTTTTCACTCCAGACTGGTGCTCTACCACTTGAGCCACACCTCCCCGCCCAGCTTTTTGCTGCTTCACAGGAAGTCAGAGTTGCTCAGCTTTTCCCACCCGGCCGGCTTCCAGCCCTCAGCCTCCCACGGGGCCGGGATGACAGGCGGGAGCCGCGAGGCTCAGCTGCAAGCTCCGGTCTCACTCCTGTGGCCTGGCACAGACACTCGCTTTGGGGTGGCCGGGCGGGGTGGGGGGGGTCGCACTCACGTGAGCAGCAGGATGGAGCCCACGCTGAGGTGGGAGGCCTCGGGGGCGCACGCCAGCCTGCTGTCCATCTCGAAGAGGTAGAAGCAATCTTGCACTTTGCCCCGCTCCTCAGACACCGGGGTGAAATTGTCCTGGTGGGGGACAAGGGAGGTCTTGGTGGGACCATGCGCGTGTGCGTGCGAGGGACAGCCCCTGGGCTTGAGCTCAGGGCTCTGCCACGTGAGCCACAGCTCCACGTCCCGCTGGACCACAGTCCTTCCATTTCAGCCGGGATTCCAGGCGTCACCACCGGTGCCCGGAGCGGGCTGAGCCGGTTTGCCCGCAGTCCTCCCCCCTACCCCCCCCAGCCCTCCTTCCCCGGCCCCCCCAGTGCTCACGGCGAGGGTGTGGCGGTTGCAGGAGATCATGACCACGGCCCTGCGCTGCTCACGGCCGCAGTGGTTGTCATACTCGTCCCCGCCCTTGTAAATCAGCATGATCCAGTTACCTGGCAGGGATGGGAGGTGGGCGCTGAAGGGCTCTGGGAGGCCTGGGATGAGGGATATGTTTCTTTGTCCCCTCCTCTTCTAAAGCTGGTCCTGGGGCTTGAACTCAGGGCCTGGGAAGTGTCCTTGAACTGGTTTTTGGCTCAAGGTGGGTGCTCTACCACTTGAGCCACAGCTCGACTTGTGGCTTTTGGCTGGGTAAGAGGTAAAAGTGTCCCAACTGTGTCTGCCTGGGCTGGCTTTGCACCCCAATCCTCAGATCTCAGCACCCTGATGAGCCAGGATTACAGGCGTGAGGCACAGCACCTGGCTGGTGTGCCTTTGTTTAGGGCAACAAAGAGCCTAATGCACTTTTTGTTTTGTTTTGTCAGTTGTGGGGCCTGCACTCTGGGCCTGGGCGCTGTCCCTCAGCTCTTCAGCTCAAGGCTGGTGCTCTACCACTTGAGCCACAGCGCCACTTCTGGCTTTTTCTGCTTATGTGCTGCTGAGGAATCGAACCCAGGGCCTCATGCATGGGAGGTGAGCGCTCTACCACTGAGCCACCTGCCCAGCCCCACTGATGGATGCACTTTTCAAAGAATACTTTGACATTTCCTCAGTGAAGGCAGCAAACACGGATTCGCGTGTTTCTGCACACATGTGAATGGCCAGCGTAGAGATTTCAAATCATAAATGGCAGCAGGGAGATGTTTACAGTCTAAAATCAGCCATGCGCGCATGCTAAGTGGAGCTTTGGAGACAGGAATATACTTTTAATTGTTCATTAAGAAAACGGGGGGGGGGAACCCAGCTACTCAGTTGGGGTCCCAGCTAGTCAGGAGGCTGAGATCTGAGGATCACGGTTCAAAGCCAGCCCAGGCAAGAAAACCTGTGAGACTCTGATCTCCAATGAACCACCACCAAAGAAGAAGAAGAAGCAGCTCAGGGACAGTGGCCAGGCCTGAGTTCATGCCCTAGGACCACCAAAAAAAAAAAAAAAAAGGCTAGATAGAAGTGGAGCTGTGGCTCAAGTGATGAGCGGGGATTACAGGCATGAGCCGCAGTGCCCGGCCCAGCTGAGGGGCCGAGCTGGGGGTGGGAGAGACACTCACTTCCGTTGAAGATCTGTGTCTCGTTGAGCCTGCCCACCACCGTCTCCTTCCCGGTACTTTTGTTGATCTGCACCAGGCCGGCTCCCGAGGTGTGGTTGCCGGCTTCGCGGCACACACGGAAGATGTAGAGGTACGAGTCTGCGCCCTGGCCCACCGTGCTCTCGAAGCTGCAAGGCAAGTGAGGGGACCGGTCACTGGTGGTCAGTCCCACGCGGCCGGCCACCTGCTCATCTGGGTGGACCTGACCCGACCCAGCCCGACCCGCTCGGTCCCAGCCTCCCAGCTCAGTTCTAGAATTCCATTATTTTTTTTTCGGCTGGGATTACAGGTGTGCGCTACCGTGCCCAGCCAAGGCAGTTTCTTAAGTGGTCCGAGGCGCTCGCTTACCTTTTATTGAACAGCGGGTCCAGTCTCTTGAGCAAGGCCAGCTCCTTCTGGGATTCTTTCTCTTTTTCGCCAACTAAGTCGCAGGTTTTTTCTTCTGTCTGCCAGGATTTGTTCACCTCCATGGCCAGGAGCGCGAGCAGCAGCGGCCCTGGCTTCCAGCACGCGAGGGTGGGCCGCATGCTTCTGGCGGAGAAGGCAGAGCAGGGGGAGAGGAAACACACAGGAATTACGGAATAAAGCAACCAGCGCCATCTTGCTGAGTCTGACTCTTTGCCATAGACCACAAACAGAATGTTCTAGCCTCTCATGGAGAGCACTGTAGAAGGAATCCATGCGTGTAACTTTTAGTGTAATCCATAGGTGAGTCTTTTCAAAAACAGATTAGGGAAGGAAGGAGGAGGAAGGGAAACAACTTTATTATGATCGCTGTTAAACTGCTTCTTTACGGGGTTCTTTTTTTAGTTCCAAGAACAGGACTCGAACTCAGCACCGAATGCTTTTGCTCACTGACTAGCACTCTACTATCTTAGCCACACGTCCAATACCATTTTTTTTTTTTGTTGGTTGTGGGGCTTGAACTCTGGGCCTGGGCGCTGTCCCTCAGCTCTTCAGCTCAAGGCTAGCGCTCTACCACTTGAGCCACAGCGCCATTTCTGGCTTTTTCTGCTTCTGTGGTGCTGAGGACTCGAACCCAGGGCCTCATGCATGCAAGGCGAGCGCTCTACCACTGAGCCACCTGCCCAGCCTCTCAACATCGCTTCTTTACAGTTTGGAAAGTTACTGAGATTAGCTGGCTCATTATGCAAAATGTACTGCTAGTTGGAAAGCAGAGCTTAAGGAAGCGGCTTTACCCAGGGCCAAACGGATTATGGTCTGAAAACATTTATTCAGATGCAAAAGAATCCAACTGGAACACTCTGGGGCCTAACTTTTCCTATCAGAATTCCAGGATCATCTAACAGTCTGTTTACATAGTCATTGTAACATGGTAAACAGAAACATGGCCTACTATCTCAAAGTGTGTGTGTGAACTGGAATTTAAACTCATGGCCTCCTGCTCTCACTTCGCTTTTTTTTTTTTTTTTGCTCAAGCGGGTGCCCTACCACTTGAACCACACCCCATTTCCGGCTTTTTGCTGCTTAACTAGAGAAAAAGAGTTTCACAGACTTTCCTGCCCAAGCTGGCTTCAAACTGCGACCCTCGGGTCTCAGCCTCCTGAGTAGCTGGGATTACATGCGTGCGCCTGGTGTATGGTTTATGTCTCACGTCCTATTTCCCACAATCCAATGGGGCAAGTCATGTGATTTCCTGTGTCATTCACTTCAGTCATATTAATACAGAATTGCAGACAATAACCAGGGCTGAGGGCCCCACGGATGCTCTAAAACACACGCAAAGGGACCCAGCGTGTGAGAACAGGACTTAGCAAGAGCGGCAGTACTCGGTCAAGCACCGTGGAGCACTGAGCATGGATGAACCAAGTCACCTTCGCAGAAACGCTAAGCAGTTCTGCAGGGATCGTGGTACGGGGTGAGCTCAGCACACAAACACCGCTCGTGAGTCAGCGGATCTCATGATCCACGCGCGGCCAGCGCACGCAAGTTCTGCCATGAGTATGTTCTGGAAAGGAGAATGAAGGCGCATACTCACATGCTGCCTGGGTCGTTTGGTTTTCTTTTTTCCTCCCAGGAAAAGGGGAAGTGATCGTTCCCAAGGCTCCCGGAAGGAGAAGAAAGAACTCAACTCTAACTTCCCAAGCCTCCCTGGGCTCAGTATGGACGCAGCAGGCCGCGTTACTGGAGGAAGAAAGCTTTTGTTAGCTAATTGCGCATGCCAGATGCCTCAGGTCCCAAATTTCAAATGCTCCCATTTTGGGGTTTTGAGGTCTCCTTGCCACCCGCTCGCCCTGGGTCTCCCCAACCATTTCTGGGGAGCGCGATCTCACCAAATGCTGTGTTCTTTGGCCTTAAAGCGAATGCAGAGCAAACGTCTCCTCTGCTTCCTGCTCGAGGTCTGTGGGTTAAGTGGAAGGTTGGGGTGTAAGCGCTACTTTGCTCACTTAAGATTTGGGTTGTGTTCATTTTTTGGGGGGCAAAGCAGAAAAAGGAGGCGCTAGATCCCCCTTGATTTTAAAGGTGAAGAGAGGTGCACGTGAACTTTCCCAAAGGGGAAGTCAGTTGGCAAGTTGGGAGGATTGTTGTACACGCAGGTGTACGACGATCAGGGACGGAGAAAGAGCAGAGGTCGGCGGGCCTCTCCAAATGTCAGATAATTAAGATTTGAAGCGATATTCCCAAGGTGCCAGCCCGTCTGCTTGTCCCGGGGCTTGAACCCGCGGCCTGGCCGCTGCCCCTGAGCCTTTTCCCCAGCCTCCACCACCTGAGCCACGGAGCCACTTGGGGCTTTCTGTTGGCTCACTGGAGAGAAGGAGCTTCTGGGGCTTTCCTGCCAGGGCTGGCTCTGAGCCACGGAGTCCCCTGAGTAGCTGGGACGCAGGCCGGGCGCTACCAGGCCCGGCTTCCCTGCTGTGCACGCGATGTCCTGCAGACAGGCCGGTGTGGCCGGGCAAGGAAACTATCTCCTTCCCCGGGCGGCCTGCGGGGGGGGGGGACGCCCCTGACCTCAAAGGAAGAGGGGCCTGCTGCTCCTCCCGCCACCCCACCACCGGCCCCAACCGCACCCCGACTCCC